ACCATTTGGGGAATGAGCCAGCAGATGGAAGATTCTCTCTCTCTCTCCCTCTCCATCTCACCCTCTCCCCCTCTCTCCTCCTCCCTCCCTCCGTCTCTCCCTCCCTCTCCCCCCACCATCTCTCTCCCTTCTGCCTTTTCTCCCCTCCTTCTCTGTGTCTTTCAAATAAAAAAAATCCTACAAAAGAGTTAGACTGCAATCAGAAAGAGCCAGGACTCAAACCCTGGCGTACTAATTCGGGGTACAGGTATCCTAAGCAGTGTGTCTTAACCATTGCACCAGATGCCTGCTTCTGGACACTACTCTTACAGAAGGATGTAATTTCTATCTCTGATAAGATCTGCCATCCCTAGTTAGTTATTTTTCTTTATAAAATTAAATATAATTATCCATCAGTCACATGAAAAGTTTGATTGCCAAATGCCTATATTTCACACATTTCTTGGCTGTGTCTCCAAGTGCTATAATCTTACATAAAAGCATAAATGGCAGGATGAGCATGCGAAAAACCAAGTATATATTATGCAAATTCACAGTGCGATAGGAACCGTGTCTATTATTTTAGCCAAAGTTGATTTTAATCATGTGTAAAAGTAAAACCACTAATTGAAGACAAATTTAACTGGTGAGATTGACAATGAAGTGATAATGGTCATGAGTCACAGTTCGTAGATCTGCCAAAGTGTCAGTGCACTGACAATTGATTTTTGTTAATGACAAAAATGTCTTATAAATTGATGGGGATTAAAACACAGGAAATAAAATACATATTTTACTCTTAATCTTAAATTGAGTTGACACTGTCCATAACTCAAGCAGAACGGAAGAAATTTCCTTCAGGGTTCATCCTGAAGCAGGGGAATCCGGCCTAGTGGGAGGCACCGCTCTTTAGGCAGTTCTTTCTGATGTGGGTTTTGTGAGTCACCCAGAGTCATCAGGCTTGCTTCAACCTCCTTTTCATCCAGACCACAAGCTGGTGGGTAAACCCATGTTATCGCGCAGTGTTTTTTGCCAGTTCGATAGACTGCACTAAGATTTGTAGGAGGAGCATGGCTCATGAACAGTGCACTCTGGAGAATAGAGCATTGTACAGAGGCAGCAGAATGGGACTGCATAACCCAGAACCTTAGTATTCCTCTATGTGACGTGGAGGCTGGGATGAAGCATCACTGCTCAGGGGTGGGCATTTGAGGAGTGAAGCTGTATACAGGAGCTGCCTCTGTCTCTCTGTCTCTGCCTCTCAAATAAATTAATTTTTAAAAAATGTAAAAATGTGTTCTCTTGGAAGAGCAGCAGAACTTATTTCAAAAGCAGTCTTTCCTGGAATCCCAATATATCCAGCAGATAAAAGTGGAATTGTTCTGAAGTCAAGAATTAAAACCGAGAGTCCCGTTCACTTGGGTCGTCCTCTGTGTTTTTTTGTGGTTGTTGATGTTCTTGCTAACTCAGAAATTCTGAAGTTTCGTATTAATTTAACCTATAGTCATCTTAGGACTGACGATCCTGTTCATGTGAAAATGGATGTGGTCTGGGTGAGTCAGGCAAACATACGGGGACAGATTTAACCGGGGACAGATTTAACCGTCTCATACCTCAGATAGGGAGAGCTCTTCTCCATCAGTCTCCACCCATGGTGGCCACGGGGGGTATTTAGAAGCTGGTGTAGGTTGAGGTCAAGAAAATAGAACTTGGGAGAGAGATCTTGGCTAGGGGCTGGGCTGTACCATTTGCCAACTGCAATCTTGAGCAAGCTACTTAATCTCCCTAATGTTCAGTTTCATTTATAAAAAAGCATTGTTAATAGCACATATTACCTAGGGGTACTATGAAGATTAATAAGATAATAAGTCTTTGTAGTTCTTGCCATAATGGTGTTGCCAGGCAGTAATGGCTCAAAGGGTGAGAGCTTATTTAAATACAGATGTTTTTTGAATGAATGATTGAATGAATATAGAACTAGCGTTCTCTTTCTTTATATTATTTTTAGGATTTATTTATTTGAAAGGCAGAGTTAGAGAGAGAGAGAGAGAGAGAGAGAGAGGTCTTCCATCTGCTGGTTCACTCCCCAGATGGCTGCAATGGCCAGAGCTGTGCCGTTCCAAAGCCAGGAGCCAGGAGCTTCTTCCAGGTCTCCCACATGGGTGCAGAGAGCTAGATCGGAAGTGGAGCAGCTGGAAATTGAACCAGCACCCATATGGGATGCCAACACTACAGGCAGCAGCTTTACCTGCTATGCCACAGTACCAGCCCCTAGCCTTTTCTTTCTGACATGGTTTATCATTTCATTTAATTCAGTTTTAAATTTAGGTTTGATTTTTAAAAAAATATTTAGTTATTTATTTTTAAAGATTTATTTATTTATTAGACATCAGAATTACAGAGAGAAAGAGGCAGAGAGAGTATTCCATCTACTGGTTCACTCCCCAATTGGCCGCAATGGCTGTAGCTGCGCCGATCTGAAGCCAGGAGCTTCTTCCAGTTCTCCCACATGGGTGCAGGGGCCCAAAGACTTGAGCCATCCTCTGCTGCTTTCCCAGGCCATAGCTGGATCAGAAGAGGAGCAGCCAGGATTTGAACCGGTGCCCACATGGGATACCAGCATTGCAGACGGCCGCCCCACCTGCTAAGCCACAGCATCAGCCCCTAGGTTTGCTTTTACAGAAGATTTATTTAGGTGTCTCGATGTTGTGGTGTCGTGGGTAAAGCCTACAATGCTAGGATCCCATACGGATGCCAGTTCAAGACCCACCTGTTCCAATTCAGCCTGGCCCAGCCCAGGCCGTTACAGCCATCTGGGGAGTAAACCAGCAGATGCAAGATCTCTCTGTCTCTCCCTCTCTCTCTGTAGCTCTGACTTTTTTTTTTTTCTTTTTAAGATTCATTTATTTATTTGAAAGGCAGAGTTACAGAGAGGCAGAGAGAGAGAGTCTTCAAACTACTGGTTTACTTTCCAGATGGCTGCAACGGCCAGAGCTTCTCCCATCTGAAGCCAGGAGTCTCTTCCAGGTGTCCCACGTGGGTACAGGCCCCCAAGGACTTGTGCCACCCTCTGCTGCTTTCCCAGGTCATAGCAGAGAACTGGCTTTTAGGTGGAGCAGCCGTAATTCAAACTGGCAGCCATATGGGATGCCGGCACTGCAGGGGGCGGTTTTACCTGTTATGCCACAGTGCTGGCTCCTGTGTCTCTGCTTTTCACAAAGAAAGAATTTGTTTTAAATGACTAGTGCATTTCAAAAAGAAAGGCAGAGTTACAGAGAGAAAAGCTGAGTCTTCCCCCCACTGGCTTACTCCCCAAGTGGCTGCCTTGGTCAGGACTTTGCCAGGTGGAAGTCAGGAGGCTGGAACTCCATCTGGGTTTCCCGTATGGGTGGCAGGAACATAAGCACTTGGACCACCTTCCTCTGCTTTCGCAGGCACATTAGCATGGAGCTGGGTCACAGTGCAGCCAGGCCTTGAATTGGCACCTGTATGGGATGTCTCCATTGCAGTTGGCAGCTTCACCTGCTGTACCACAACACCAGCCCCTTAGGTTTGCTTTTAAAGCAAATTCTCTCCTAATGCAAATAACCAAATTCTGATTGATAACAATTACATAACTTTTGAAGGAGTAGGAAAAAATGGGATCCTACCATAACACAAACAACTTTGCGTTAGAAAACAAAGTCCCTGTGTAAGATCCATAAAGCTTGTCAACTTACTATTGTGTCTATGATGCACATCACAATTACTTAGTAAGAAGTGCTTGCTACATGCAGGATGTTGGGACCATCCACAGATCGCTGCTGTGATGTGAGGCCTCAGAATTCGCATTTCTGACAGGTTGCCAGATGATGCTGATCCTGGTGGTCTGAGGAATTCACGTCCAGCATCATTTTAGTTTTCATTTTAAAAGTGTCTATGAAAAAAAGAGAGACAACGATCTTCCCTCCACTGATAGGACAGTGTGGTCCATACTGAAGACAGGAACCTGAAATTTAGTTCAGGGCTCCTACATGGGTGACAGGGACCTGACCCAAGTACTAGAGCCATCACCTGCTGCCTCCCAGAGCACATGAGAGCAGTAAGTTGGAGTTGGGAGCAGATCCGGGACTCAAACCCAGGCAGTTCCATATTGGATGTGGCTGTTCCAAGTGGCATCTTAACTACTTTGCCGAAATCCCACCCTTAATCACATTTTTATTTTATTTTATTTTTTTTTTTTTAATTTTTTGACAGGCAGAGTGGACAGTGAGAGAGAGACAGAGAGAAAGGTCTTCCTTTTGCCGTTGGTTCACCCTCCAATGGCCGCCGCGGCCAGCGCGCTGCGGCCGGCGCACCGCGCTGATCCGATGGCAGGAGCCAGGAGCCAGGTGCTTTTCCTGGTCTCCCATGGGGTGCAGGGCCCAAGCACCTGGGCCATCCTCCACTGCACTCCCTGGCCACAGCAGAGGGCTGGCCTGGAAGAGGGGCAACCAGGACAGAATCCGGCGCCCCGGCCGGGACTAGAACCCGGTGTGCCGGCGCCGCTAGGCGGAGGATTAGCCTAGTGAGCCGCAGCGCCGGCCTTAATCACATTTTTTAAAGTAAAACAAAAAACAGTATTATTTCATTTGGAGAACAGAAGTACAACATCCTTCTAAAAGTTTGTCAGGAAATGGAGTTAAAAGACCAATTTATTTTGGCACCAACATTTTGAAATCCATGCATAGTTTTTTCACAAGGCACATTTTTCAGAAAGTTTCTTAATGTCACTACTGGTTCACTCCCTCAAATGCCTTGCAACAGCTGAGATTGGGCTGGGCCAAATCCAGAAGTCAAGAAAACAATCCAGGTCTCCCGTGTGTGTGGCAGGGACAGCATATTACCATGCAGCCTCTGCAGTAGCAGGAAGCTAGAGTGAGGAACTGGAGTGAAGCATTGAACCCAGGCACGCTGATGTGGGATTTGGGCATCTTAATTGAAGTCTAAACACCTGTACCCTCAGGAACTTTTTGAAGTGTCCTTGGACAGAAATGTTAGGTCCTATGCCAACTCTAAATTTAAATTCTGCAATAATTATGAAATTTGTGATTCTTTCTAGGTATTTGGTATGGAAAATCTCCCTATATGTGTTTCCTTTGTTTATATAAGACCTATAATGTCCTTTTTAAACTGATCAGAACAGATACTACACATGATCTTAGCCAATAGGATGAGAAGCAGTGTAATGTCATTTGAAATGTGAATATGCTTTTAATGTTCAGAACAGAATTGAATATTTCATTCCACCTTGGATATGTTAGTAAATTTGTGTCTACACGATTTCTGCAGTGTTAACTTTTGTACTGACACATGCTTCCTTGCTTTCTTTATTGTAGTATGGAAGAGAAGAAAGTGACTGGACAATTGTATTATCCTGAAAGGAAAATACAAGATCTCAACTGTATGAGCTTGGGATGAACCCGTTGCAATGGGATTGTGATAGACTCCTTTGGCTGCCTGTCAGTTGTCCTAATGTAGTTTGTAGGATCAGTATATTACAAGGATGATTCTCTTCTTACGCTAGAGAAAACGAATTGCAATCATTCATGGTGTTCTTTAAGATTGGTAGTAGCTTATGTTCCCTTTTCCTAGAAAGCCATATAACATAGAACTTTCCTCAATAATTTGAGTGCCTCCCTTAGTCCTTCACTTAGATACAACAATGTTTACTCCTTGGTATAAATTATACACTACTCCTCCACCAAACTCAGTGTTTTTGTATGTGGGATTGAAAGCTGATTGAAATGCATTTCATGGGTAATGTTCCATGTATCACATCGTTATCCTTGGAAAGTGTTTGCTTTTTTAACTCAAGACTGAAAAACTGGATTTTCTTCATCTCACGGTTTTGCGGACCACTAGGTCCATCCTAGGGGCCATATCTCCCTTCTTGCTGGTGCCACAGTCTGCTCCAAGCTCAACCTGCGTGTCAGACCTGAGCATGGGTCTACCATGCCCTTTCCATTCGGCGGTGTCATTGGCTGTCAGGCATCTACAAGACGGGAAATCTTATGCTTATAAGACCTTTGGATCCCCAGTGCCTGTTGCACAGTAGGCACTCAAGTCCATGGTGTACCTGATCAATGAATGACCACGTAGCTTCTGTACAAGTGCATTTTGTTCCTCTATTATGAGTCCTCCTTCTTAGAATTTGTGATGGATTCTGACTTTGTGTGTGTTTACCTCATGCCTTGTTTTCTTCCATGGACTACTTAATCAGCACAGGTACTCAGAGGCACAGTTAGTTGGAGGAATCATTTCATAGTTGAAGACCACCTTGAGATTGAAACAGTCATCCTGGAGAGAAATCATAATATCACACCCAGCAAATGGAAATAGCAAATGTTATACGCCATGTGTCAAATAAGAAATAGATGGTCTTTCATGTCGGGGATAGGTAAAAAACAAAGAGGTATATTCTGTTGTTGTAAGTGGTCTTTTCTGTTGATTGGAGACCAAAGTGAGCAAACGGAGACAGAGGGGAAGAGCTGGGAATTAGAGTTGCGTGCTAACTGGTTTATCTAGGAGAAAGTTAACTCTTGATAGGAAACATTTGTCCTTGGACAGTCAGCTCTCAGATACTGAATTTTTTTTTTTTCAGTTCAAATCATTTTCATTTTACTGATCATATATTATTATTTTTTTCAGAGCAAGGGGAAAACACATTCTAAAAGTTTCCTAAGACATTTATCAACATGTAGTAAATGGACTTTGAATCTCTTCCAAAGCTTTCTACCTTAGGGTCACTTTGAGACTTGAATGGCAAAATGGACGTTAACAAAGTGTAAGATGAACAGACTGGTGGAAGTATCTTTGGGGAGAGTTTTAATTGGAGAGCTAAGCCTTGGGGAGGGCTCTCCTTTTCAGATCTTCTGTGCTCCTGACTGTCTCACCAAGTGGCATCTAAGGGGATGCTTTGGCTTAGCTAAATTCACTCCCCTCACTCTGAATACGGTAGCCTCAAAAAAAAATTTCAGGTAATTTCAATGATCATCTAAAGCATAATAACTAGAATCTGTTCCTATGAGAAATGGAAATTACTTGTTTGCCATAAATATATTTTATACACAGGACATGCCCATTGTGAAAGTTGGAGAACATTAATTTTGTCAGATTACTTTTCCAGAGAGCATTTTATGCCCTTTCTACCAGACTCAGTGAAGATTAAGGATATACATTTTTTAAAATGGGAGATCTCCTAATGCAGATAACACAGTCTGCCATTCTCATTCAAGTAATGGAAATTGACCCTGACACTAACTTGTTAAAAAGATTTAAAAAGAACATCTGCACATCTTTTTTCCTTGTTCACTGTTTGTTTAATTGCAGTGGAGGAATACAGCAAGAGTGCCATGTTCTATCTAGGCAATTATCCATTCTTCAAGACTTAGTTATCGCAACACTAATTGATCATTTAAGGCGTAAGATAGTCTAGCATTAGGAACATGTGAGGCTAATCTGCTCAAAAAGATCAACAAATTAATATTGTTGCTGATATTTGCATAATTGGCTGCAATTATTTAATGTTTAATTGGGTTGATCAAATGAGATTCAGCAACTCACATGTGCATGAATATAAACAGACTTGGTGGCACTTAAAATGATAATGATTAACTTATTTTCCTTGTGCTCTTCTTCCCACTTTCTCCAGTTTCTACATTCAGACCAAGTCTGTCAGCTTTTTCTAAAATGTCTCTGTGGAAACAGGAATTTTAAAATGAAATGTTATTCAGGCGTAGAAAAAAATTCTAAACATTTCCTATGAGATTGACTCTTAAGAATTTTCTTTCTTAGCATAATTTATTAAGGATTCAATCCATGAAACACTGAAAAAAGAGTCCAGCTCGGGGGTGAATACTCTGACCTATACATTACAGCCAACAGGAACTGATTTCATTAATAACACCTGCGTGCACCTTTGCTCTTGATAGAATGGGAAAGAGAAATAAATGAGAAATCTTAAGGAATTACACATTTAAAGTATGAGTTTATTTTGGTCTCAAAATTTTTTTTAAAGACATGCATAATTTTTTTCATGAGATGCATTTTCCATGTATTGGTGGAAAAATTTGCACCAAAATTAACTCACTTTCGTTTTTTAAGTTACTTTTTCATTTTATTTGGAAGCAATTAGATGGAGACAGGCAAACAGACCTTCTGTCCACTGGATTACTTCCCCAAATACCCACAACAGCCATGGCTCAGCCAGACAGAGCCCGGGAGCTTGGAACTCCACCCAGGTCTCCCGCATGGGTGGCAGGCACCCAAGTACTTCCATATGCTGCTCCCCAGGAAGCATGACCGGAAGTGGAGGAACAAGGACTTGATCCAGCCACTCCAGGATGGGATGTGGGCACCCCAACTGGCAACTGAAGCCCTGTGCTAAATGCCTGCCCCCAAACTCACAGTTTTAATTCTAATTTTTCCAGGAATGTTTTGAAGTACCCTCAGGCATCCTGAGTAAATTTCTTCACCATATTGGTTTTGTTGCTTGATAAAATGGTACCCATACAAGTGGTCTTGTTTGCCTCCAATCTGAGCATTCTGGGGCCCTTGAAGGCAGTTTATGAGTGAATCTTAGAAGAATTGTACAAGCTGTTGTTATTAAAGCTGCAGTTTCAGTTCTGCTTTAGGGCAATTGTGCTATGAAAACAGCTGCCAAAATAAACTTACTTATTTTCCCCAGTCCCAGTTCCACTCAATGTTCCATCACTCTACTGTGTTGCTTTTTTTGAACATCTACATTCCGTTTACCCTTATGGGGGGGGGGGGGGCAGTGAGGATGTGTTTTAAGCAGAAAATAACTTGTTCACATTCAGTGAGTGATATCTAAAATATTTCTAATATTTCTTGGATGCACCAAAGCAAGGTATTTAGACAGGGTTAAAGTAACTTATTTCATGAACTGATTTTTTTAAATGATCAGAGAACTCTTCCTTGTAATATGGGTGTTGAGGTTTTTCCTTACCTGGATATGTAAAAACTGAAGTTCCAGTCGGCAGTGCTAAGAGGGTTGTTTCATAACAACTCCTTTGCTTTGCCAGGAGTATAATGTGTTTCACTCTCTATTTTCCATATAAGCTCCTCCCCCACCACTGCCAAAAAGAAGTGTAAGGGGTGGTCCCAGCTTTTCAAGAAGCCTTACCTATTAATTGACTATATTGATTATGTAGTTGACTAGAGATTATATTAATTGATTAGAGATTTTATAGTTCGTGTGATAAATGTTGATCAGGGATTAGGAAGTTAGGTTTAAAAAATAAATAGTATGTAAGCAATACCCTCATGAGACTTATAGTCTATTACTTGAACTAGTTTAGATATAGAAACAATTCTTAATAGTTAGATAATAAGTAGAGAAATGCCAGAGTACATCTGTCATCAAGAAATCACAATGCACGTTTATTTCATCCCATTTCTTTAGTTAAATTTATTATTATTACTATTTATTTGAAAGGCAGAGAGAGAGTTACAGAGACAGACTGCAAGAGATCTTCCATCCACTGGTCTACTTCCCAAATGCCTGCTACGGCTGGGGCAGGGCCAAGCCAAAGGAAGGAGCCAGGAACTCAGTGCAGATTTCCCACAAGACAGAGATGGCAAAGGTCCAAGTAGTTGAACGTGAGCAGGAAGGTGCAGTCAGAAGCAGAGCTGAGATGTGAACCCAGGCACTCCAGTAGGGGCTGTAGGCATCTTAACCACTGAGCCAAAAAATACAGTCTCATTTTTAAAGAAAATTGGTCCTTTTTATCAACTCTCCTTCTCTCCTTTTTCTCTAGTTTAAGACAACTGCGAAGGGTTAACCTGTAGAGTTACTCTGTCCCAGCCTGTAAAGTATAAATTACTCACTTTGTGGCTTACTCCTTATTACCAACCTCATGCATTTGTTGTCGGCATGCTTCATCCAACAAACCCTGCAGATTGCAGTATCCTTCCTTCCTAGTCTTTTTTTTTTTTTTTTTTTTGGACAGGCAGAGTGGACAGTGTGAGAGAGAGACAGAGAGAAAGGTCTTCCTTTGTCGTTGGTCCACCCTCCAATGGCCGGCACAGCTGGTGCGCTGCGCCAGCGCACCGTGCTGATCCGATGGCAGGAGCCAGGTGCTTCTCCTGGTCTCCCATGGGGTGCAGGGCCCAAGCACTTGGGCCATCCTCCACTGCACTCCCTGGCCACAGCAGAGAGCTGGCCTGGAAGAGGGGCAACCGGGACAGAATCTGGCACCCCGACCGGGACTAGAACCTGGTGTGCCGGCGCCGCAAGGCAGAGGATTAGCCTGTTGAGCCGCGGCGCCAGCCTCCTTCGTAGTCTTAACCTCAAAGCTGATCATATTGAAATAAACAAAGAAAATGATCCTAGAGGGAATTTTTTAAGAAAATGTCCCATAGGAATCTACTCAGAAAATAACTTCCGTGGAATTATGATTTCTCATAGTTTGAAGTTTTACCAAAGAAAGACCATTTAACATATTACAAAGAGATTAATTCTCATTGCCAAAAAGCGCTTTTTGGAAAAAGATTATTTTTTATTTGAAAGGCAGAATTACAGAGAGGTAGAGACAGAGCTTCCATCCATGGGTTCACTCCCTAAATGGCTGCTACTGCTAGGCTGAAGTCAGAAGTAGGGAGCTTCTTCCAGGTCTCCCACGTGGGTATAAGCACCCAAGCACGTAGGCCATCCTCCGCTACTTTTCCGGGGCATTAGCAGGGAGTTGAGAATACAAAGGTAGGGCTGGTGTTGCATTGCAGAGGGTTAAGCTGCCACCTGTTACGCCAGCTTCCCGCATGGGCTGTGAATCCCTGGTAATTGCATGGGAAAGCAGCAGGAGATGGCCCAAGTGCTTGGATCCCTGCCGCCCATGTAAGAGACCCGTGAAACTCCTGGCTTCAGGCTTTCTGTTGTAGCCATTCAGGGAGTCAGTCAGCAGTTGGAAGATCTCTGTCTCTACCTCTCTCTCTGTAACTCTTGATTTTCAGGTAAAATAAATTTTTTAAGAACTACAAAGCTAGAAGAAAGTGATTTTTTAATCCTCATAATACCATAATAAAATACTTCTCAATTATTTAATTTGGACAGGTTGAAAATGAGGTATCATTAGAGTATAGTAGTGTTTGTGGGTAAATAATTCCCTGGGGTCAGATACATGTAAACATACGTACTTAAATTAATGATGCAGGCATGAAACTCAGTGTTTGAAATTGAAGTACTCTGTAAAATCTGCTGGATAGTTTATTGAAGTCTAAATCATCCTGTCTGAAAATATATTTTTCATACCATGGTAAACCCAACTAAGAAAACCTAAAACTTTGCTTCCATACGTACAATTTATGTAATCCACTGTTGGGATTGTAAACATTGATATAATCTGTTGGCATAGAAATGAATTTAAATATGATTTCTCTGGACATCCACTATCATAAAGGCTACATTCCTAGTTGCCTATCATTGAATTATGGAGAAAAATTTAAACAGAGAAGATGTGAGAGGAAGAACAGGTGGAGGTAAAGAAAGGAATGTTATGGGGAGGGCAGTGTGATTCTGTGCTGTCCAGAGGAGCTTTTCTTTTCTTCTGCCATGCATTGAGATTTTCAGCTTTCAATATAGGTGCCAAATACAAACAGTACTCTTTAGGGAAGTGACTAATATTATGGCCAGTTTACCAGATATTAGGATTAGATCACAATCTTGACATTATGAGTGTTATATTAAACCACTGAAGATTACAACCAACTTGGATGAGACTTTATAATTACATAGACTGTAGGACCTACTATATCATTTCTAAACCATGTATTCCAAGATTCATGGAGGCTTCTTAAGATTAAATAAATGAGAAGGAGTATATTATAACTTTTTTTTTCGTAAAAATACTATTTACCACTGTCCCCTTCTCCTTGGTGGAAGTCATTAAGTTATCTGGAAATAATTGGATATTATTAAGTGGTTAACTAACAACGTTCTGCAGTTTTCTCAGACCAGTTGCACAAGTTCATTCAAGTCATTCTCAAAGTTAAGAAAGGATGGCAAATATCCTTTGAAGAACACAGGAATTCTTGAGAATATGGTTATAAGAAGATGTTGATTCAGGTCTTAAAAATAAGCTAGCTAATCTGTGTGCTGTAAATTCTGCAGATGTTTCTTTGGTGACTTGTAGCAATGAATGATCGTATTGTATACCCAGTTAGTCAATACAGGGAGCCAGAGTCTTGCCCACGCTTTTAGAGAATTTGTGCCTACTTGATATGACAGCCGCAGGAAAGTAAGTCTTTTGAGGGAATTTTAAAATCGGGGCTTGCCTGTTCTCTTGCGTCTGAATGTGATTGCAATGTCTGTTGTAATGGTGAACCCACACACGATGGCCAGTCTTTCTTCTATCTCTTGTGTTTATCTTTGAAATTCGTTTTAAGAAAATTGGAGTAGAAAGAAACACTTCATCCATGAGGATTGGCTTTCATGAAAAATTGCTGAGGGGTCGTGTTGAAAAGATGGAAGCTTATGAAACCCAATGGGAACATGCACAGTAGAGTGGGTGAAAGAAACTACCTCATTCTTTGAAGGTTTTGTGAAAGCACAACACTCTTTAAATGACTTTCTTGTACGAGAGCCATCTGGTGTGACGATGTCTATATTTGTATGTCTAATGGACCTGGAGTCATTTCATTTTGCTGGCAATAGACACATTCTATCATTTGTAAGTTCCTCGTCAGATCTGTAATTATACATGGAACCTGTCATCAATAAAACAAATTAAAGGAATCGTGTTTGTGTAGCCTCATGAAAAGAGACTTGTTAGATGTATGAAATAATAATGCTTAATTACTGTTTTTATGTCCTCAAAGTTTTGGGTCAGGGGTTGTAAAATACAGGGTATTTTAAAACTGAAATGTCATTGAGAGTGAAGAGGAACACAGAAAAAGAGCTGGTGGAATCTAAATACATCTTGTCTTCAAACACTTGGGTAAGAGAGATACAGTGAGCATTTCAAAACTGTTCTTTCCCCTGGTTATGGAGTTATCTTGAGTAAAATTTAGCTTTGTCTTTTGAATTTTGCACAGAATGAGGTTACCTTTTCCCATTCACTCTTAAACCATACACCCCTATGTGGTTAATTTTATAAGGTGAAAGAAATCTGGTAAAAATCTAAACACCAGTGATGTGTCCTTTTCACCAAACCAGGCCTTGTATAAGTTGCCCTGGAAGAGGGATGGTTGCTTGGCACAGTGGTTGGATCACCGTGTTCCACGTCAGAATGCCTGGGTTCAGTCCTGGCTCCAGCTTCCTGCTAACGTGCACCCGGGGAGATGCAGCTGATCACTCAAGTACTCGAGTACCTGCCATCCACATGAAGGACCCCACCTGGGTTCCAGGCTGTTGAGTTCAATGTTTCCTAGCCCTGCTATTGTGGACATTTCAGGGAGTAAACCAAAGATCTCTGTCCCCCTGCCTTTCAAATACATATTCTTTTGTCAAAAATTGTCCTGAAATCATCTACTTGAGAGAATAAAGCCAAATGCAGATATAGCCATAGATCACACGTTCATTTTCTTATGATTCGTCCAGATAATTACAAATGCAGCAAACCCCAAGGCTTTTCAAGGAGTTACCTTAAACTGAGCTGGAAAAAGTGTCAGCTCAGTGAGCCTCTTCTCCAGACCTTGTTACCCTGTGAAAGTGCTGGTCTTTATCCAGATGACTCTGAAGCAGTTACACGCAGAATGTGGAAGGTCCAGTGCAGGTCATTAGCCCAGGTCTCCGCAGTGTTGATGCTTAGCTTCCACAAGAGTGACAGGGAGAGCTCTGACATTCCTGAGGGTGATGGCCTATATACACTGGAGCTTCTGTGGTCATCGGATGAGACAGAAGTCTCCTTCAGGGTAGAAAATGTCTCTTTACATCAATTAAGGAAGAAGCAAAAAAAAAATATTTTGACCTTGTAGAATGATTTTTTGCTAAGCTGATTCAATGTGATCTCAAGCATACTTTTCAAGTCAAGAATCTGATTTCACTTTCATGGCATATGGTATATGCCTTATACCATGACAACTTATTCCTAAACAAAATGTGCTATTGTAGCCTGACTTTCATTGTAATGGTGAAAACTTGAAGGATCGCTTTCCTGTAACCAAAATACCCAGAGCTCAAGGCATAGTCTCTTTGTATGTCTGTCAAATAATCTGGGTTTGCTCTTTTTAGCTATGTCTGTAAGGAATCAGGGGCAGTGTTGCTTGATACCTGTGGTCCTTTTCTCCAATGACCTTTGTTACTAAGTAAGATTTTTGAAAAATTGGATGAGAAAATTGTAAAGCCAAAAGATTTCATGCTGATTGTATCCCAAATACATCAGTTTTGTAAGTTGAGCTGATAAAACTCAACAGAAAAGGATAAACTGCATTTATTTTAAGGATAGTTATATAATCAAATATTTCCCATTAAAGATTGATTCATCATAATGGTGAATAGAAATGGTGCATACTTTAGTCCCTGACTGCTTTCAAGCCATGGTAGAATGTAACAAAACGTCTTTCTTGATATGTGGGCCGCCTAATGGGAGAATGGGTGAGAGCCATTGGTTAACCTTGTGATTCCTAATGGGGTTGAATTGGTTGGGGAAAATGGAGAATATAATGTCAATTTCATGGGTTATAAAAGATGAATCAATATTTGTAAAGTACTGGCAATAGTGTGCAAAGTGTGACATGATGAATTTTTATTGACAGTAAATGTTGAGGGGCGAGTGTTGTGTAGCATTTAAAACTGCCCACTGTGACACTGGCATCCTATGTGGGTGCTGGTTCGTGTCTCATCTACTCCAATTCCAATCCACTTCCCTGATAATGGCCTGGGAAAAGCAGCAGAAGATGGCCTAAGTGCCTGGGTCCACGCTGCTCGTGTGGGAGACCTGGAAGATGGTTCTTGTTCCTAGCTTTGGTCTGGCCCAGCCTTGGCCATTGTGGCCATCTGGGGAGTGAACCAGCACATGGAAGATATCTCTCTCTCTCCTTCTCTCTCTCCAAACCTCTAAGGGCATTCAGAACAAAGACAGGTTTCTCAAGGAAGAAGTCTGACTGCAACCTAGAAGTTCTGTTGGGATTTCAGTCTTGCTTGGCCTGCCCTAAAGGTTTCAAACTCGAAACCACAGCTTCAAGCTTCATCTGATTTTCTCACCTGTTGGCTTGCATTAGGGATTTTTAGACTTGCCAGCCCCCAGATCATAGGAGGGGACTGACTCCCTTAAAATTAATTCCTCTCACTATTTAGAGAGATAAGATCTTATTTGTTCATTTTTTGTCTGTAGAACCTTAGTGCAACAACAAACAGCATCTAAGAAAAAAATCATGGGCTTTAGTCTTCCCTTTAGACTCAGGTGTCTAATGTAAGACAGCGCAGAAAATTGACGTTCCCCAAAGACGCTCGTGAGAGCTTAATTGCAACCACCATGACTAAGAGATACAGAATTCCAGGACTGGCAATATTGCTCAACCCAAACTGGCTAAATGAAGGCTGACACCACAGGCAACATTTGAGACATCTTGAGGGAAATATTTCTGAATGCTGGGCCATTAAATGTCCCTTACATTGTTGTTGGCTGAGTGCTCCTGGCCTGAATCTCTGTCCAGAGAACACGACATGGACAAAAGTAGGAGAAAAACACTTTTTTGGGGTAGTTGATGTTTTTGTTTGGTAAGCAGCCGTGCTAGCTGTGTTAGTTCCATGGTTCTGTTACTGGAGAAATGCAGGGTTCTTGTCTTAGCGCAAGAAAGAATTCAGGCGTGAGACAGAGTAGTGCAAAGTAAAAGTAGCAAAGTTTATTAGGGAAGCGACATCCATAAGAACGGATGGGCACCTCTCCAGACAGGACCCGGGAGAGAGTGCAGTCGCTCGGACTTGGGGTGGCGGGGGGGAGGAAGGAGCAAGGTTACATGGTTGAGTGGAGAGATTACACCTGGCCAGGCAGGCAGGCAGGCGACTCAGCAGAGAGGCAGAGGGTTGAGCGCGCAGTCCGGTTGAGGCCGGGGGTTTTTATGGAGATGGGTCTGGCTTCCCCACCTCTGCTCCTCTTGGAACAAAAGACTGTTTAATGTATGGCTACTGTGGTGGTCATGGTGGTTGCACGGACCTGATGCTTTCACACTGGCTAGCAGCCAAGTTCAACCTCACAGCTGCTGGAGCTCTCCTTACCATACTCAACTCAGGACTTCTTTTATAGCCATTTGGACTTTGCTTTCCTTATGTTTGCCGCATATACTGAAGTTATATTTTGTATGAAAGTTTTTGTAAACTCATGAATAAAATGAAGTGTCGCTCCCCCTCTTCATGGAGGAACGACACTAAACCCTGCCTAGGCTTCATATCCGAGTCACGGCACCATTATGTCGCTCCCCGTCTTCGTGGAGGAACGACACAGGATCCTGCGCTGTTCTTTCGTCTGCTCGGCCCTCCCCGGGTTTGCTGCTGGTTCTTCCCGGGTTGGCTACTGGTCCTTCCCGGGTTGGCTACCGTCCCTTCCACCTCTGTGGAAGGGTGGTTCCCCCTGCCACTTTCCCCACTTCCGCGGGGGAGTGGCACACCGCCAGCCGGCTCTCTTGGCTCTCTCAGGGGCTGCTCAGATGTTATTCGGTTAGATGTTCCCCTTAGATGTTTCTGGTGCATGTTGTCTCTCTCCTCCTTTACAGTCCTTTTCCACCAATCCCAACTCTGCTACCCACACGCCGAGTACGCTGCTCTCCTCCAATCAGGAGCAGCTCCTGCAGCTTGTCAAGTTGGTGAGAGGCAGCTGTGTAGAAGCTGTTTACTCCTCTCCCAGCGCCATATTGTGGGAGAGCAGATGCATAGAATAAGTCTTAATTCGAGTAACAGTCTAGTCCCAATTGCTCCGCACAATGAAGAAGTCAGTCTACTTCACTTCTGCAGATTTGAGAAGGCACTAAGGCCATTTAAAAGGCAGTAAGAAGCCAAATGAGATTACATGATGGGCACAGCGTTTGTCCACAACTGCCCTCACCAGTGTTGTTCCTGCAGAATGAGAAGGTGACAGCAAATTTTCTATGGGGAGAAGAAGGAGCTATTTTTCCTGGGCTTGCTTTGATTAGAACTGCAAAGTTAATGTTTGCATTTTCTGCAAGACTTATTTCCCAGTTTATGCAAACTTTCTTGAATGTCAGTAAAACTCCTGATAGTATTACATAATTCTTGCTAATCTCAGATTTCGATAGCGGGTGTTCACAGTGAGATGTGGGAAGGTCACAAACTGTTTTGCATTTATATTTCCCTTCAATTGACATTCATTCCATTTGCTTATACTCATCTAGGTGACTATGAGAACTTGTAATTATTTATGTCCTTGTTTACCTCTTTCAGTAGACTAGTAATTCTTCAAAGGATTGCATCTAACTCAGTTTCCTGTCTTCCCAGAACATAATTCTTTGATCATATAAAATAGTGTATATTAAGCACCCACCAGAGAGCGCAACATCTAATAGGCGCAAAGTATTTGGCAGCACTGTGCTTAACTCCGCTAGGCCCCCTTAACTCCAGGTCCTTAACACACTTCTGCTTTGCAGGCTCAACTGTAACCAACTCATGAGATAATTGGAGATGGGCCTGATAGCTGCTGAGTTTCAGACATCAAATGAGCTCTCAGCTCTAATCCCAGCATCCGGGTCTCTGGGAGGAGCCCCTGAATCTCATTAAGCCGGGGCTTTGTCTCCAACCCGTAACCTGCCTGCCCTTGCATCCTGGCTGACTAGATTTCTGCCATGGTAAAACTTCTTTGTTAGAGGCAACATGATCAGAGCCTCAGTCCATCGGACAAGGGCCGAACAACCCTCACCAGTCTGGAGTTTGTCTCTTCCCACTCTGCTGTAGAAAAGTCCAGTTTCAATCTAGATTGACCTCTTGGGAACAAAATCACTACTTCTTGCTTGATGATGGTGATTGTGGCCCGCATTAGCTAATCTGTAACACTTAGGTACTGAAAATGGCCTGCATTAGGCCTGAATTCGCCAGAATTGCTGACTGTGAGGATTTGGACTGACCTCCACCTTCTCAAGCTTTGGCGAACTCTGGTCTACACTGCCTTGTCTGCCAGCTTGCTCTTGAGTCTCAGCTGGTAACAGCTTTCAAAATTATCCTGGCTTCCTCTTGTCTGTAGCTTTACTTCATTTAATTAATTATTTAAAAATATCTGCTCTTGGCCAGCGCCACGGCTCACTAGGCTAATCTTCCGCCTGCGGCGCTGGCACCCTGGATTCTAGTCCCGGTCGGGGCGCCGGATTCTGTCCCGGCTGCTCCTCTTCCAGGCCAGCTCTCTGCTGTGGCCCGGGAGTGCAGTGGAGGATGGCCCAGGTGCTGGGGCCCTGCACCCGCATGGGAGACTGGGAGGAAGCACCTGGCTCCTGCTTCAGATCGGTGCAGTGCGCCAGCCACAATGCAGCAGCCGTAGCAGCCACTTGGGGAGTGAACCAATGGAAAAAGGAAGACCTTTCCCTCTGTCTCTCTCTCACTGTCCACTCTGCCTATCAAAAAAA